TGATATGTTTTCCAATGCAAGTAGAAACTATTTCTAAATCAATTTTGAGAAAATAGTTTCTCTCTCTCTAAGAAATGAAGAAATGAGGTCTCACTATATTGCCCAAACTCCTGAGCTCCAGCAATCCTCCTGCCTCAGTCACCCAAGTAGCAAGGAGTACAGATGCACACCACTGAGCTTGGCTGAAGAAAATAGTTTGGGGGCAGGCACAGTGTCTCATATCTGTAATCCTAGCACTCTGGGAGGCTAAGGCCAGAGGATGTCCTGAGGCCAGGAGTTTGAGACCAGCATAACCAACACAGTAAGACCCCATTCTACAAAAATAAAAAAGGAAAAAATTAGCCAGGTATGGTGGTATGCACCTGTAGTCCCAGCTACTTGGCTAAGGCAAGAGGATCACTTGAGCCTGGGACCATGCCATTGCATTCTAGCCCAGGCAACAGAACAAGACCCTGTCTCAAAAAAAAAAAAAAAAGTTTTGATTAAACTGTGATATTGAAATATTTAAGTCTCTAAGTAAAGCCTGAAAATAGGATTTATTTTCATTAAAAGATAATTTCCTATAGAATTACAATTTAAAAAAATGTATCAGGATGTTATCAATAAAACATTTAATTTCATAAGTAATATCCATCATGACATTAGTCTCACTCCATCAAAGTGGTGGCTACTAGCAGAATTAAATCCATACCAATCATACACTTGATTTCAGTATCTTCTTTTAGATCATATACAGAAAAAACTTATTTTTAATTTTCAACTGCTAAGCACCTATTGGTATTTAACAAGATTTTTAACAAACAATTTTTACTAATATTGTATAAGACATTGACGTAAAAATACAACTAAAGAATAAGAAATTCTGGCATTCTAGTTTTCAGAATTCATTTTATAGAAAGGAAATAATCTCACATCCTCAGGCCTCTCCTCAAAATGGTAAGGGGCCATAGTTTATACGAAATAATACATTACAAGGTGTTAATAAGAACAAAACAAAATTAACTCTTGCATAATTATCTACTGCCTAAATGAGATTTGTCTTCATTTCAATAATATTAACCATTTATACATAATGTCAACACAAGAGTGCTAAATTTCAGCTCAGCAGAAGCAATGCAAAGGACAGTCCAAGGATTTTACAATTGGAGAAGTATCTGGAATTGAAGAAAATTACTGTCAACTTGAGAAGAGGTATTAGTCATGAAAGATAAAAAAAGATTCCTGTGGACTGACATGCAGCTAAAAAATAATCGTGGTGGGAACTTCTAAAAAACTGTATAAAAAACTGAATTCTTTATAGTATCTTTCAACTGAGGATAATAATGTATTCTCTTGACAGAAATATCACTGTGGGAGGAAAAAATCCAACTAATGACAATCATTTCATTAAAAAATTTATTTAACAAATATGTCAAAAATTAATGTGGTATTTTAAAATTACTTCAGGAAGTCCTACCTTCTAAATCATAAAATATGATATTGTTTGAGTAGTTTTAAAACCAATCTAAAATAAAGATGCAGAACTTACTGCTTGTGCTTGCTTAATAAACTCAAGAATGTCTTCTTTTAAAGCCTGATGAATTTTTGCTGGGCCTTTATCATCCCAGAGACAGACAGCATGCACATCCCTGTAAATATAAACAAACATTAATAATAGAACAAGAACAGAGACAAAACTCATCTTAAGTTCTGTTTTAGTACACTCTCCATGGACCATACTAGACCAATCCA